GGTTCTGCGGTGCATCCTTCGCCTTCTGTTGGGCAGCCAGCTGATCTTGTATCTGTTGTTGCTGGAGCTTCTTTCGCTCCTTTTGGGAGATCTTAGGTACAAAGCTACCGCTGCTTTCGCGTCGATCTGCCATGCCCAACGTGAGGTTCGATACCCGAGACTGTAATGCTTCTCCCATGATATCTTTGATATCCTTCTTGGAACTCGAAATCATTGGCGAGGTCCATGGCGCAGAAGAGGGGTTAGATGATGATGCCAGAGCTTGTTTTTGGTTTTTGATGATTGCCCTGGACTCAGATGGGGACTGTGCTAGTAGCGGATCTTGCGGGGAAGACATCTGATCCTTCAAGAAACCATGATCGCCGAAGGACTCGGCCTCTGGGACGCTTGCCCCTAGAGCTGGGGAGTCAGGGTATGACCGATTTTCGGGTATACCTTCTGTGAATCTCAGCCCACGCACGGCGCCCTTGCCTTTAGAAGCACTTGGTGACATAAGGGTCTCATCGTCCATTTGAAACATGAGGTCCCCAACCGACTGCCTGGGCTTCAGAGTTGGGCTACTACCAAAATTTGGTGAGCCTCCGGATAGGCTAGCCTTCGCTTTGCGCACAGACGGAGATGAAGTGGCCTTCTCGTTAGGTGTTGACCGGGCTCGCGCATCATAAGGTTCAAGGCGACCAAGGCGGGACTGCAAAGCCATGGCATCGATCCTTCGTTGCTTATCTGCCTCCACAGAGTCGACAATTTCGGGGTATTTTTCAAAGACATACTCCTCAGAATTTCGCCCACGGGATATGGGCCAGCATGCTAGCTGATTCTCGCGGCAGATCAGATCCAACTCCCAAAGAAGAGTAGTATCCAAATCTTCAAGATATCGATTGGCGAGCATAGCCTCGAGATTGAGACAGATATATTCCAGGGCGGCATCCTTAAACTCTGTGACACAGCAAGGGGCAATGGAATTGAGCAAATAGCACACGTTGCGCGTTGTGACAAAACGACCAAGCATCTTCTGACACACTTGAGATAGTCGGTCAATCATCAACTCATTTGCCACGAACATTACATCCAGAAGCAAGTCAATGAAGTCATCGAGATCTTTGGTCCGGACTTCATCAAATAGCCGTTCTTCTGTATCGGCATATAGGTAACGCAGGACAAATTCAAATGTCGAGCGATCAATGTGCTTTAGGTCGACATACACATTCTGGTTTGGGTCCGCTTTGCGCGAGTCCAGCCATCTTCCGCCCGCATAACCATTGAACAGAGTGTCAAAGAACGGGCATCTCTGACACACGACTTGGCTGTGCACTTTGATTGTGTCGCCTTTGAGCTGCACGGTCACGTCTGCGCTATCAAATAAGAATGAGTGGTTGACGGCATGAGCCATATCTGCTTTCAGGCTTCTTTGCGGCTCGACCATTAGTCGTGCTGCCCGCTCCAGCGCTGGCAGGCCGAGTTGCATAGAAACCCGCATAACTTCAGTGCGAACCTGCCGGAAATGGGCCGAGTTTGCGGGCGAGCTCCTTGCTAGGCGCCAAACATCGAGAATGCCGTCTGTGTAAAGGAAAAAGACAACGTTCATAACGGTCAAGAAATCAACGCCTAGGAGGCGGATCTGGGGATGTCCGTCCTTCCCGTATTCAATATCAAAAACGTCTGGGACAGATGAATAATATGACTGCCGGAACTCGGCCAATGACTTTCCCAAGATGGAACTACGACCAACTATAAGAAACTCGTGAACGGGAATGCACAAGTCAGATAGGGAGCTGGTCACCCAAATAGTCCCCTCGGTCCATACAGGTAGAAATTGGCTTTCAATATCTGTGGATGAAAGTATGGCTCTTTGAATACTTTTTCCTGATGAAAGCACAAGAGGGATATTCTGAGCCTCATCTTCTAGGATCAAGTCCAACTCTTCCAGCCCTGGGATTGAAAATGGAGACAATGGCAACATATCATCCCAAAGGTGGCTTTGCTCAACATGAATTTGTTCTCTGGTCACTTCACAGTCACGTTGAGCGACAGCGTAGGCCCCAAAGGCATTGCTGCGCACCGCCACTGCCCGTGAGAGGCCAGGTATGCGGGCAAATTTGTACTCTTTGGAGGCTCCCTCCTTATTCTTTGTCCGGCGTTCTTTTCTCCACGCTGATCCAGATGTTGTACAGATAATGATCGAACCGTCTTGTCCAACATCGACATCGCTCGCTGCCATGTATGATTTCTTAACAGACCATGCTCGAACAGGGGTGGCTAACGAATTCCGAATCTTTGCAGGATTGGTTGTGGACGTCAAAGCCGAAGAATTATCGGATTGGTTGGCTTGAACAGTGAACACATCACCAGAGCTGGACAATGCACATATGGTGTTACCTCCACATACAACCTTGACGACACGATTCGCAGTCTTGTCGTATCTGGTTACCATAAAGCTATCCCTGATAAATCTAGAGCTCACCTCCAGTGGGAATGAGAGCTTTGAGTACCCATATGACGAGAAAACCCAGACCTCGTGGTTCTGCAGAAGCACAGAGGTAGCACGGTCTATGGCAGACACCATCTTGATTGGACAATTGAAAAGGGAAGCTCCAACGCGTCGCGGTGTTGTTTGTACCTCAAGCGAACGCGCATCAGAATCGACCAAGCCAAGCTGACCTTCATTCTTGCCAAATGTGTAGAGACCCGAGGTACTGAAGACCACCGAGTGGATAGACGATGCTGCTGCACCTATGATAGTTTCCTTCTTGAACGGGTTGAAGATCTGGCGAGGAGTCGTCTGGATGGGAATGTCATTTTTGTTGCTAGTCCTGGGCAGGCCATAGCCAAGCTGCCCGAACTTGTTGCTTCCCCAGCTGAAAATCTCACCCTGCTCGGTAATCGCCAGGCTATGGTCTTGACCCAGAGCAGCCGATACGACTTTCTTCCCCTCCAGTCCACCCGTTTCAATACAAACAAAGGTGAAACGCGTCGATTCATCTCCTGTTCCTAGTCGCCCTCCAGGTCCAAATCCACACATGAACAGATTAGCCTCGGGGTCATCTGTGATTATGGCGGTATGCAGTTTGGACATGATAATGTCTTGGAACTTCATTGGCTTGTTTGTGATCAGCGTGGGCAGCTCGGTCGATTTGCTCTTGGGCACGCTATCTTCGAGGCCTAGGTGTTCCAATTTCTCTTGGTATTCACGGTAAAATCGATGCAGAAGATGCTCGGGGCGCTTCAATGAGATGCGCTCAGGAAATTGTCTGTCGTCCTGATCCCCTAGACCAAGGTTCAGGTTTTTGTTGCTTCCTAGGGTAAAAACTTCATCGGCGGAAATATTCACGGCCCCTTTCAGGACAGTCTTAAGAGCGTATGGCCCATCTTCCTCGTCATCTCCAAAGTTTGAGGCGGCATTGGAAGCAGCATCACTGCCCAAAGTATCATCATCAAGGTCTAAGTTCGGCCAGTTCTCAGAGAGATGCTTAATTTCACGGGTTCTAATGGTTGCGCCAAAGACGTCAAAGGGACTGCAACCCTCACGGTCCTTGATCTTGATCAGGCCACCACTCGGATGGCTCGTATTTCCACCTTTACTGAAATCCGTCATGTCCTGCAGATCGCGCGCCATGAGAGCCAGAGCAATTGTGGCGTTCCCAGCGTAAAGAGCCCGATGCAGAGCCGTCCATCCACTCTCCCAGTCCTGCGCATATATATCGACAAACGGAACTTCCAACAAAGCGCGCGCGAACCTAGCGGCGGTAGGTTTCGAGGACGAAGCGACATGATGCAGCAATGTACGGCCGTAATGATCGCGGGCATTAACATCGGCACGCGACAAAGTCGCGCCCCCGCGCGTGAAGGCCGCCCAGTCAGGCACAGAGGTCCCAGTTGATGATTCGAGATTTTTCTTACTTCTTGGTGTATTCGGAGATGAGGCAATCATTGACCCGGGACTTCCAGTCTTCGATGACAGATTTGTCGCAGCTCTGGAGGTCCCTCCGGAGCCCCCTGCAGCTCGCGGCCCCGCGAACGTCGCGTTCGCCAGAGCGCGCTGGAACCGCTCGACATCATCTTGAATGAAACACTCCCAAAGCTTATTACTCATGTGCCCGGAGTGGTAGACGCGCCGAATCTCTTATCAGGCCCAAGCTGAGCGTTGCCGTCACCACAGTGGGGTGGACCGCAACGGGGAGCTGGGTGATAAGAGGACTCTTGATCGAGGGGAAAGAATAAGGATTGCCGACGCTATAGGTATAGGTCGATGCGATTTTGGTATCACAATTTTCTGGTCGTGAATTTGACGCGAAATGGATTGTGGGCTCGGGGTATGCGCGTGTGGCGAAAGTGTTTATTTGACGGGGGACCAACTCGAAATTTTCGAATTTGAAGAAGGGACGAGGGGTGAGAAGACGTATGTCTCGAGATACGCAGGTGGTTGGAAAGAGCAAGATGTCCTGGGTCGCACTTGCCAGAAATCCAGTCCGGTTTGCCCTCGATGTCATCCGTGGATCGTGGACCCGCCCCACAGTCTATTATAACGACCTCGGGGTCAAAACCCACTATATAGTAAGTAGTACATTAGTACATCTATATCGGAGTCTCCGGGTTATTTCGGACTTGTCAAACTGTCATAAACGGGTCAAAGCATGTCTCTAAAATGTATGTATTTAACGCACTTCTTGGGTTGATGAGGGAAAGAGCCAATAAAGCTATTTATACTACGCAGTATAAAACTCCATATTATGTGTCTGTATGGACGTTATCCACTTCTGTAAAATTACTCTGACCAATAACGACGCGAACGTCCCTCCATGCCCCCGGACGAGAGGCGAGGATCATCCAGGGCAGAGCCCGTGGGGAGAGCCCGTGGGGAGCTGATAGGATGATGCACCCTTTTATATATGTATGTTTTATGTATGACATTTCGTCTCAATTTGAAGTTCTCGAGTTAAAGTTCAGTTCCCTCATGTAGAATGGCCTGGTGACATGCGCCGTCCGTACCACACAGACTAAATCTACATCATAATCTTTCGACCAGTTTCCAGGTCCTGGATCCCTTTCTTCAGCTGCGCACGTCGCCGACTCAGCGCCGCATTCTCCCCCGCAATCTCCGTCAACTGATCTTCCGACAGGTTCGCAACAAATTGGGGTGAGAAAAGTCCAAGCGGCTTGCGGGGTCCGGTGAGCAGACAGTAGCCGGTAGCTTGCATGCAGATGTTATCCACGAAACGCTTGGATGCCACCTCGTAATAGGCTGCTAGAATGTCGTGGATATACCGAACGGTCCGTTCGCCGTTACTCAGTAGAACTCTGGGCTCGTCTTCTGTAGGCTCATACTTCTCCTGGTGGCTGGTAGAACGATGTCAGTATATCTCATGGATCAAATAGATTCGTCAAACACACCTTCTCTTTTGAGTTTCCTCAAGGGTGTCATGAAATTTCTCATTCAATGTCATTATGTTCATGCGCTCGACATCAAGGACCAGCTGGGCCTGCTCCATTGCTTCTCTGTATCTCTTGGACAGCTCATCGGTGAGGACACTCACCAACTTGTCGCGAATTTGCTCATCAGGGCAGATAACTTCAAGGACTTTAAGCATAAAAGTATGCATGATATCAATCACGTCGCTGACATATCCGAGTGCAAAGTCGGTCCATTTGCCAGATTGCCTGTTCATGATGGTACACAATAGAGAGGTTTGAAACGTTCCCACCTCGAATCCGCGGGAAGCACGATACTGCTCCTCGATCCATACGAGAATACTGTCATCAGTCGGCTCTGTCACAACCTCTTGTTCGTGGAGAATGCCATCAATGGCACCACTATTCTCTGACACATCCAGGTGCTTGCGTACGGGTATTCCACTACCGTCTTCCTGATCCGCCCCGCCTTCCATCAGTTGTATTGCTGGTAATTCATCAATAATTTCACTGAGAAACTGGTATTCAAACCCATATTTTTCCATGTCGGACTTGAAAACATCCATGCGGTTTCTGATTATCGTTGCCAGCCGGGAATGTTTTTCTTTGTCGAACAATTCATTTGTGCCATATGAAGTTGCCATGGCTTGCGAAACAATGTCTTGAAACCTCGTTATGACATCAAGCAGGAAGCTTCTCTGCTGCTCTGGGGTGCTTCGTTCATTTCCAAGAGCAGACAAATCATGCCTCATGGCCTTCAGCTTTCGACCAACATCGGTACGCATCTACATATATAGTCAGCCAAATATGTAAACGAAAGTCGAGATGATGTGACATACCTTCGGAAACTCGCGCCGAATTTGGGTCGTTTGCACATCTTGCAGGCGAGTCTTGAGGGCAAGAATCCCAAATTTGTCCTCTGGAAGGTTGCTCCATGGGTGGTTTTCCCGGAAAAACTTCGCCTCGACCAAGTCTCGGTCAGAACTCTGGTCAAGTAGTTGCTGCTGGCCAGCATTGCGCACAACAATCCAGCCAAGCTCCAAGGAATGGGATTTGCCCTCAATCAACTCCATGATCTTGTCCTCGGCACCCTTGTCTACTAAGTCAGGTTTGGTAAACACTCCCAATGTGCGATTTCCCTGAGTATCGCACTCGCGCGCCATTTCAAGGATCTCTTGCGTGGCTATGTCCACATTTGCAGGGACAACGGTCAGCATGATTGAACGAGGATTGCGCATGTAACCCAAGACCATATCTCTAACCATCTCCATATCCTGCTTGGTGGTAAGACCAGCCGTAGTATTCTTGAAGATACCCGGGACATCGATGATACTCAAGTTATCTTCTTCGGGTCCACAAATCTCTAACCGGAAGACGTCTCGAGTAAAGGTGGGCTTGAAAGTGTCGTTTTCAGAGCCCGATAAACCCATGGTTTGGTGAACCTATAGTAGCTAGTTATTACAGAAGGTTTAGTTATGATTTGCTCAAGTGACGAAACTTACTTCGCGCATTGTTTCAGCGAAGGATTCAGAGTCAAGTGATTCCATATTGGCTCCTTTCCATGCTGCTAAACGGGAAGCGTGCTCGGGGTCTTTATCGAGTGCTGAAACGATAGAGGCATTGATGGTCCTCTTTGTGTCTGCCTTGATCCGCCGGAAGATGATATGTGTAGCAAACTGAGTGCACAGTCCACTATCTCTAGGGAACGGCAATTTGGTAAGTCCCTCTAGAACTGAGCTTTTTCCACTAGACTGGTCTCCCACAACAACAAGCAGAGGCAAGTTGACATATTCACCTAGGTTGCAAGCTAGGAGCCGGTCTATCTTGTCCAACAGCACTGGGTCACCGAGCCCTTGGCCAGGCAACTTTGGGGTAGACATAACGGCCATGGTGAAAGTGGTGATGGTTGAAAATTAGAAGATTGAATCTATGTGATGTGCTAGGTGGATAAAAGAATAAGAAGGGGGGATGGAGAAGGAGAAAGAGATAGGATAGGGCAAGGAGAAAATATCCATTCCTATGTGTCTTTTAAATTCAGACCAGGGCAGGAACGCTCCGACAATCTCAATCCTTTGAATTGCCAATTTCAATGAAGTCCCATAGCCCCATGCTCCCTGTTCCTTGAGTTTGTATCAGCACCCAAGTGTTAATCTCCTCTTAGCAATCGCCAAATATACCCTCCAATATTGTTTCTGTGCTCTTCTATGTAAATTAGTCCCAGGTCCCACCGTGAGAGTCCCGCGGGAGATGTCAATGTCCATTCGGGATTGGTTGTCTCCTCGATGCTTTTGAAAATAACTCACATCGCCATTCCTGCATATTGACCTGAAGCTTCTAGTTGCTACATTCTGAAATCATTTCTTGCTGACTGGCACTTACCGACAGAGGCAAATCTTCAGTGTTGTGGTGTCTGGGCCCTTGGGTGAGCTTCGTGCTTAAAATTCTGTCATCATTTTGGCTGCTATCTTCTATACAATCGGCACCATCCTAATGGCTGTTAATTCTGGTTCTCTGGCTGAGCTTCTTGTTGGAAGAGCCTGGTCTGGAATTGGTTCTGTGCTTGGAAAGACCATCGGCCCTATATACATCTTAGACGATGCACCGACCGAAATGCGTGGCATGATGACCACATTTTACATACAGTCCAAACTAAGAAAAGTAGGTCACCCATGGGCTAACCCCTTGTCACTGTAAGGAATATATCCACTTTCCTCCACATTCGTAAAATGATAATTATGTTTCTCTTGGTCTCTTCAATAAGCCGGGGATCAAGCACAAAAGGTTATTCAAATCTGATAACAGAACAAGTTAGCAAGAAATTGGCTTGATTTTCAGTTCTAGTCCCTTAGGGCTAAACATAATAAATCACCTAGTCAGATTTGTTTGGAGAGCCAGGATCTGCAGCGGTGTAGTTGGTCGACGGTTCCTCGACCCGAGCGGCACAGCCGCAGTAAGCATAACACGTAGAATAGGTACCTGCTGGGCAGGTAAGACCACTGCCCTGGCAGAGTAGTCTCGATCCCAAGCATGTACAGGCACAGTCCTGGATGCAGGCCTGCGTGGAGATGGGTGATGTGCAGTACACCGATCCACACTTCACATGGAGAGTGAAGAGGACAGCGCAGAGGGCTGCACTGAGGTTCAAAGTCTTCATGAATGCGGTAATAGTTTAGTAAAAAGTGATTTAGGATAGGAGAGAATGGTTGGATGTGTACAACATAGAGAAGTATAAGGAAAAGTTAATTTGTCCGAGGCCCACAGTGGGTAATATAGTCTGGATCATACACCCTAAGATAGATAATACTCATTGATACCAACCTTGGAACCATGAAGGGGGCGGTTGCTTAGCCAGGTCCTGCTGTGTTATACTGCTTCTTTTTCCTAATTGATCCAGTTCCATTGGACCCTTGATTCTTTTGACTGTCTAACTGGCTAGTAGAGAGTCTAGAGACTATACTAGTGGGAATATAACTAAACTAAGTCTAGGTCCCATGTTAGCGCAGGATAAGCACAGCACAGCAATTTCCAAAAGAAGCAATCCGCTGGCGGAACCTTGCGCCATCGGATCATTGGACTGCCATAAATATTTAGGCTGAAGGCAAGCTGTAAAAAGGTTACAAAGTCAACTCAAGCATCGCAGCTATTCTGTCCATCCATTTCCTCCCATCATGGCAATCTTAATTAATCTAGCTTTGGCGGGGTTACTGTTACTCCTGCAAGGTACCCCGGCGAAGAACATCCAAGCGGCCCTGAGCGCCAATATCGCCGGTGACATTCCCCAAGAGAGCCAACTGGTTGAAACAAGTCTATACAATCAAGGATACAGTTCCACTCTCCATGTAAATTATATCGGTCCTTTATAAACAGCCCGGCCAGCTCTAACCAGGTTTCCAGTTCGACGATGTGCCAACTGATGCAGGGACTGGAACCGGAACCATATCCACTTACTCATACATGAATTTCAGCAGTTTTACTACTGTAAACACCCTCACTGCGGCATCTCTCGGCTCTATCTCAGTCTACGACACAGATTGTGCTTCCTCCCAGCCAAATGCGCTATTCAGCGCCCGCGCCCTGGATGGTCATAAAGCACGGTCACGCTGGGTAGCCGACACAACCAAACTGCATAGTGCAGGTCTTTCGGGCTTTTTCAACCTTAATGGTCTATCTTTTAAGCCGCTTGGAGAAGTGCCGCGCGGACTAATCTTGGAGATTATTGCATGGGAGATACGCGACTCAGAAGCCCAGAATGTGTACAATACTTGGGCTGCTTATACTGAAGGGGGTCAGCAGGATATGCAGTACTATGATTTCACAATGTTTGGAGGATTCTGGGGGGAAACGGTTAACATGGTTGAGATCGTTATCCGGGCTCCAGATGAGGAGCAGAAGGAGGTAGATTGGGCTTTCTGTCTGGATGATCTGGACGTTGAATTCTTGGATAGGGGGTTAGACGAGTGATGTAGAGAGGTAGGTAGTGATTTTATTAGTTTTCGTGATTACTCGAACTGCACTCGGCTCTGTCTGTTCCCATCATTAAATCCTCAAACCAATCTATCATGCAAGCTCGGGCCTCTGCCTCGAACCTCAATTACTGATACCCCATCATTCGTACTAGCTGTGCCTCATATATGTGCGACGCCTCGCTGTGTGGTGGTTGTTGTGATGGGGCCACAGAACCACTATCCAAAAGGCACGGGCCGTAACGGGAGGCCTAACCTTCAAAAGCCCACTAAGAGAGGTTCATCCGGCATCTTATAATCGCTATACAATATTATATTCTAACCCTTTCACTAGCCGTATAAAATTAAAATTTAGCGTTAATAATAAGAGTAGCTATATAAGTATATATTTTGACTTTAAAGAAAATCTGATCAGTAGAGGTTAAGTCACTACGAAAAAGGTTAATATTAATGTTTTACTACTCGATACATATTTAGGATCTGGACAGGAGTACTACTTTCTAAGCGAACTTCTATAATTTATAAATTATCTAAATGCCGCGTTTCTCGCATTTTTAAACGTGATATATAAATTAAACTCATGATAAGCTCTAAATTGATTGAAATACTAAAATATTACCTTAAGTTAAAAGGCTAGAAACGGGGCCTAAACATATAAACCCTAAAAGGGTGTTCAACTTCTGAATTCTCGGCATATTTATACTGTTTAGGGGCCCATTAATCCGCAGCAGGCTTCTACTTAGGCCTATAGCCCACCGGTGGGCCTGAAAGTATGGCCCAAAGCCCAGCCCATTTGCGGGTTGGGTTTGGCTGGGCTATGGGCTTTATGGGCTTTGCGGAGCTCTACGGGAGAGCTTCTAGCTCCTCAGCAAGCCTAAGAGGTGGAAAACTTACTCTGAAATCTGAGATACAATGTGTTAGAACAAAGAGAAAACTCCCAAAGAACTTTCACTGCTACAATGCCCTTTTCATTGACAAAAAATACCCCTCATATCTAAGTTTAGTTTCACCACAGGTTAAGCCAGCTAAAGTTGGTGTTGGTGACACGGCGAGATTCTACAGCTTACGTCGGATGGTTTCTCACTGCAATGTCCCCGGGATATCTTTCTTGACAGCCACATCACTTAAGCGTAAAGATGATAAATACTCAGGCCGTCATAAACAAAAGGGTGTGATCGACCTAACGGAGGAGATGTACTCCGGAGATTGCATATGCATGTTAGCGCTTTGGTTGTTATGAAACATCTTGGACACCCAAGACACCAATCATGTCAAGCCTGAGGGCATGGATGTATATAGACCGATGGCATCTGGAAAATATTTGCTGGTTTTTGTAAGCATGCAGTACGTCCACTAGGTCTATATCGGGTTAACAAAAAAATTAAAAATACTGAGAGGCTGACCGGATTGAACGGATAAGCTTCTACCTCAAGGCACAGCCCAGAATTCGTGATGCCTTCAGCTTTCAGCCAACCTAATACCTAATAGATAATTTCCAGTTGAGTAAAGGAATCTCGAAGTCTCCGGTGTCGGTGGGAACGCGGTTGGGGTAAGATTCTTTATCCCAGGGCCATCCCTAATGAGCACACGATGGCGAAAAACATTGAGGGAAAGGAGAGAACATGAGAAAGAATAGAAGCCGATTAAATCAAAGATGATTGAGAGAGAAAAGAATGAGTGCGTCCACCGCCGTTAAGCGCATTCAAATGTTTTGGGTGTCAGCATTAAGTCTCCCGAGCCGGAACTCGGGATAGGGCTCATAGACTTGATCGGCTCTGCATCAAAACAATCAACGGCTTCAGGCATCTAGGTAAGCCCAACTGATTAACTATGGTATAGTGCAAGTTGCAACATAAATTCTTCGACCATCAACAATATATGCTATATACTTTTTATTTCTTCCACCAATCGGCCTCGTATCCTATTCTAAATCTTACTCCTCACCAGGCTTCACCCTTACCAAAAAGGGAAGTGTCATCTGTTCCTGAACATCCCACTCGGCTCAATGCACGGCCCAGTTCCCCACGCCGAATATATTAAAACGAACGAACACGAAGAATGCAACCCAAGCCCTTTCATGTGAAGCACCAGTACGAAGCTAACGACAGCCTTTTATGCAAGAACCTATTTCTTGCGCAATATCCCCCGCATAATGAGGGGTAACGCTAAGAAACTCCCAGGTTATAGCATCTATGTATGCAGAACCGTTGGGTCCGGATACGGAGTTCAACATATGGAGACGGAGGTGCTTATTCCCGAGGCGTATCCCCGACGTATCCGTGAATATAATTGCATTGCAGGATGGGGTTTCTCCGCTAAATGTCTCAATAAGCAGCCTCGGATATTGCATCCATGCCATTTTATGCATCCCAAATCGGAGCAAAGAAGAAACTTTGTGCGGGGCTGACGCCGATCCTCTACGAGTTTGAAAAAGATTTACCCCCCCTTTTCATCCAGATGTTGAAGACGAAACAAAAAAGTAAGAAGATGAGTCTATCTCCTTAATAAGTATATGCGCACATCAACCTACTAATCTCATGTGTTCATGCTACTGTGGGCAAAAGATATAAAACTAACATATCAACAGGGGGATCTGCAGGGCGCCGGACGGATCCTGCGCTGCCCCGAATGGTTTATGCATGGGGTACTCCCCGTAATCAGGGGCCGAGTGAAGATCGTCGCCCTATTCACCAGCCTCGGTAATAGAAATCAATCACATTCTTAGGAAGAAACTTTGGAAGGTATGTATCGTGTTTGGATCGCCCCGAGTATATAATGTGAAGATCACCCCTTCCTTCGTCCAGCATCACAGCCCTAACTCTCCAACATAGAGCAGGAAAATGGCATTGTCCCTTGCGCGCATGATGCGCCTGGCCCTGGTTGGGCTGGTGGCATTCACTTCAGTTGCCTCAGCGCTGCCTGCGAATCAACTTTCGCGCAGGACGGTTCAGCCTCCCGACAATGATCCGTTCTATCAGCCACCTGCTGGCTACGCATCCAAGGCGCCTGGGACAATCCTGAACCAACGGGACATCACTGCCGCATTCTTTGGTCTCGTCCCGGTTGACGTCGACGCCTATCAGCTGCTTTACCGCACGACTGCAGTCAATGGCTCCGCCATTGCAACAGTTACCACCGTGTTCAAGCCAAAGAACGCTAAACTCGATCGTCTTGTTTCCTTCGCCACAGCCTACGATAGCTCTTCAACGAAATGCCAGCCTAGCTACGCCTACCAGCTCGGTGCGTCGCAAGACAGTTTGATCGCTTCGGTCGAGCTACTGATCATTGAGATCTACCTTGCTCTTGGTTATACCGTCGTTTCTTCCGACTATGAGGGACCCGAGGCTGCCTTTGGACCTGGTCGCCTCGCAGGTATGGGTGTATTGGATGGTATCCGTGCCGCGAAGAGCTTCAAGACCTTGGGTATGACTGATAACCCCATGGTTGTCGGTGTCGGCTATTCAGGCGGTTCCATTGCTACTGGTTGGGCAGCCTCTTTACAGCCCAAGTACGCACCAGAGCTAAACATCAAGGGCTGGGTGCAGGGTGGAACTCCCGCGAACGTTACTGGCACATTGTTCCAGCTTGACAACACAGCCTTCAGTGGCTTACTTCCTCCAGCTTTTGTTGGTCTCTCAAAGCCTAGCGCCTACGGTGCCGACCTGGCCCCTTTCCTCGACAAGGTCGTAACAGCAGAAGGTCAGAAGAAATTGGCCAGCGCCGCCTCCCAATGCTTCACTGCGGATCTTGCATCGTTCTTCGAACAGTCAATCTTTGACACTAGCTTCCAAACTCTAGGCAAGGAGTTCATCTTCGACCCAATCGTTCAGTCAGTGTTGAAGCAGAACACCATGGGTGTCAACAAGGACGAGACCCCGACGGCACCAGCATTTATTTACCACGCCACAGACGATGAAGTTATCCCTTACGCAGATGCCAAAGCTATGGTTAATTCCTGGTGCAACTGGGATGCGACCGTCAAGTTTACTACGTATGCCAGCGGTGGTCACGCGACCACTGAAATCATTGCCATTCCTGAGACCATTCAATTTGTCCAGAATGCCTTTGCTGGCAAGACCAAGAGTGGCTGCACCACAAATACTGAGCTTGGCAGTATTCTCAACCCGCTTGCTCTTGGTGCGGCGCTCGAGCCTATTTTCATAAAGCTCATTGATGCACTGACCCATTTGGGTGATCAGGACTCGAAGGTCAAGAACGACCCCGTCACAGTGCTCAACACAAGCCTTTGAGCGAATCTTGACATTTAATACCATTGGTCATGATGAGCATTGAGGGTTTGGGCCACAACTTTTGTATATGTTCTGGATCTATATATATATATATATATATGCACATGGTTATAATTCATTCTTCCATTATCTCTTTGTTTATTTTAGTCAGACTTTAGCATCCTTTATCTATATGATTAGATAACTTCTTCTTTCAAGATATAATGTGTATCATGAACAATGGGAAGTCAAGCTTTCTAGTCACCTATATAGGTACAAAGTGATGATCAATGGAATGAAGCTATGACGTTGGATCAGATAACCGTGTAACATGCCGAAATAGAATATGGGGAAATTCTGGAGAATCCATATAAAGTAGATATCAAGTAGATATTATATAAATGATATATATATACAGTCATCACCCATACCTTTTGAGGGCTATGTTCTGATATATGTGTAGATATATATCACGCCTTGTAAGTCGTGATCAGGTGCTTATCGGTTCCAGGGTACCTTAGCCGGGTATGGCGATCCTTGCGACCGTGCATGGTACCCGGCTTGTACAACAGCCTTTTTCTAGTTAAAAAGGGAGATATATGTAAAAGGAGAGAGAGATAAGAAGAAGAGCAATATAGGCAGCAAACCCCCGTGTTTGCATCATCTGTGTGGCGTTCTAGGCTGACTAGGTCAACTCGAGACCTGTCGAGTCACCGGATGTGCGTCACGAACTATCTTCATTATCACCACCCCTTCTCTCTCTTTCTCCGCATCCATCTTGATTCTCATTTCTTTTTTTAACGGGATTTCTCATATTTCTCTCGCTTCTCTACGCCTCACACGGCGATCTCATCTAACTGCATCTGCCCGTGCGGAGAAGCTCTAAACTTGCTCCGAAGGTCCTAGGCCGGAGTCACCCCCAGACCACATGCTGGCCGTCCATTGTCTTATCGTGAATCGTTTAGCGTCTCAGATTCAGGAACGTCCCTAGAAGATCTCATTCTCCTCTTTGTTAGCATGGCCCTCAGTCCTGGACCCATCGCTGCCCGATTGCGTTCCTGATAACAGATTCCGGCGGTGATAACACTCCTATCCAGTACTCCTTGGACCCGCTCCATCAGGGTAATACCGTTCTTGCCTCTTGTTCGCATGCATGTCGATGGTCGCTAATCAAGTATTCGCAATAGCCGCCCACCATGCATCAACATCCCCGATCATCGGCGGTGCCGTCTCCGGCGCCAAACTTTCCACCCAGACCGACAGCTCGGGACGACCGCAGAGAGCAGGAAGCTACCCCGAGCTCACCAACCGTCGATATGGGATCTAATTCTGCCAGGGGGTTGGGGATAGAGCCGGGACATCATCCATCCGAGCAGGGGAGGAATGTGGCTTTGGGCAAGGAGGCTCTGACCCGGTTAAATCAAATAATATCGGTATCGTCATTCAGATCGCCCCTCCAATGGCTTATCAGGATGCTTTATTGATGGCTAACCTCTTTTTCAACAGAACTACCACACAAAAGCTGCATTGATTATCCTGCATTCACGAGTTGCACTGCCTCCCTCCTACAACAAGGGCTCCGAGTCCCCTAGAGTCAACCGCTGGGTGAGTCTCCATCTCATGGTCGGGTTTGCGATGCTTTTTGGGACATTTAAGCATCTGAAGGTGGACAGGCGCTAACTCTATCTGTTTCACTCCAGTTCAACGTTGAATTAGATGATACAGATGTCCTTCGGGAACCCCTGCGACCTTGGAGAACGTGCGATGCAACGGACAATCGACCACCACCCCTCATTATCGAAACATACCTAGACACAAAAGGTCTCACAAATAATCAAAGTCTGGTGATTCTTGATGAGAATGGGAAGCGTTGGGATGTGCGCGAGTCACTCGCGGAGCTTGAGGGCGCCCGTGCAAAGCCACACCAATCGGAAAATGACGAGATTATCTTGGAGCGGTGGAGAATCGAGTTGGGAGGGTCCTCAAGTAGGCCTCCCGCGGATTTGGGCTCTATCTTGCCGACTGTGTATAAGAAAAGCATTGTGCTCTTTCGATCCTTATTCACCTACTCCAAGTTCTTGCCTGCATGGAGATTCGCTAAACGCAACAAAAAGTTGCGGCAGAGTCCAGCTCTCCAGATCAAGTACCGTGTGGTAGATGGGAGCGCTGCTCGTGATGATCTCTCACTGGATCATTTGACAGCCCCGTTGAGTGAGGGAAGCGAAAAAGTGGTGGACACCTACAGCTTTGGGGTCACGGAGTCGCCCGCAGGTCCCTTTTCAGTTCAAGTCACGTATCGGACGAACTGCGATTTCCGCGTTGATGACTCGGAAGCGCTACTAAGCTCGCGGTTTATGGGTGCTGACGACGAGATATTTCGTCCATCGTTGCCTTCAGATGATGTCAACCGCCCAAATCCTGAAGTTGGCTCTGTGCCAGTGGAGAGAAGGACCGTTGAGAACCCAGATTTCACGCGTGCATACGGCAGTCTCTCGACCTTCCATCAGGTTGGCCCAACAACAGGTGCAAGCCCTCTATCAGCACTTCGTGCAATGAGAGATTCAGGCGCAGGGTCTCCTTCGCCAACAGAGTCGCCTAAGAGACTCCTCCCTTCTGCCAAAGTCGTTCCCTCAGGACGTGCTGCGCAAATTGCTGGTGAAGGTGGAGCCTCAAGTTTCCCACGCCGTCCCTCCGTTTCCTTCCAACCCTTCAAAGCTCCCCCTCTTTCTGCTTCCCCGGCTTTGGCAGACTCTCCCTTAGGAGTATCTCCCCGCAACATGTCCTCACGCATTCCCACTGGAACATCTGGCGATTCACGCGTCATGCCACCCCCTTCTTCTGCCGCTTCGGCGCGCAGACCTATAACCATCGCATCTGAACAAGCTATATCATCCTCTAATTCCGCATCCCCCAAACCTACTCCAATCTCCCGGTACAGCAGCTCCTTTAGCCACCGACGAGGCCGCCTTTCTGCAGGGGTAAATAGATTGGAAGATGACAACTCTAGCGGTCGAGCGAGTGCGACATCATCCAATGCACAGCCCGGGTCCGGCCTACTCACGGAAGCTACAGGCACCAGTGCAGAGTCCATTCATGCAGATGATGAGAATATCTCTGAGTTCTTAAAGATGCTGGATTCGAAGAAGGATCTGATGAACTCATCTACCTCTGCATCTATTCAGCCTGGTCCTAGGCAGCCGAACCCCACGGCAGCAGCTCTTGCTCGCTTCCGCGGTATGCGAGATTCAAACGCCGCGTTGTCAGACTCAATGTCACAGTCTATGCACTTGCATCGCTCTTCCATTTCTTCCAGCAAGCAGCTGTCAGGAGTCCCACCGATGGTTGCGGGCACCTCCATATCCACAGCTTCTTCTCCGGGGAAACCTATATCCCCCCACACTCCCCACACCCCCCACACTCCTGCCATACGCTCTCGCCTGAGCTCAAATAGCGTTGCTGATGAGATTGAAATCGACCCCCGTTCAAGAATCCCTCGCATACAGCACGACTCGACGCTAGAAGAACACCCCGGCACAGAAAATTCGCGAGGACCTTCCTCTACCGCAGGGGCTATTGACATCCCAACATCGCCGCGGATTTTCGATCCTGCTTACCGCCGCTCGAGCTCCGCAGCCGTGCGCCGGCCGATCGTTACAAGCGAAGACGACGAAATATTCCCATTCGGCATGCGCAGCCTCAGTCTGGGGGCCGATGAGCCCTCACACGCCACCTTGGGTGCCGCCCAACAGCAGAATGAGTCCCAGAAAAGCCCACAATCACCAGCCGAGCACCCAAGCGGCCCATCCGGCTGTGCAACGGGTCCGTATCGGGACAATGCATCGCTCCGCGGGCAGATGTCTGGGCCAACAAGCGCATCAGCCTCCTCCAACCCCCATGTCTACCAGCCCCGGTTCGCAAGCTCCCGGGGCCGCGGCTACTCCGGCGGGCATTCCCTCAGCTCAGCATCCAGCAGCCTCGCCCGGGGTGCTAACCTCCCCCCGCACTTGGTGGAGCGCGACCATGACCGCGATGGCAACGCCAGTGGAAGTAACAGCGGCAATTCCACGCTAGAGATTCGTCGTGGTTCTGCGCAACGGCCAAGCACGGGTCGGACGCTGTCCGCACAAGCGCCAGAAGACGACGAGCCGCTGCTTTTCGCTATGAGTGACTTCGGCGCCTCGCGGCGCAGCCTGGATGAAGGTAGGCATGGGAACCACGGTGGGGCTGAATCGGCTACCGGATCCCGGCGTGGTAGTGGGAGACGGGGAGCAGGCCTTCCGGGCTTCCATGTTTGGTCGTGAAATATAGTATACATGGGCATTCCAGTGATGCTTTATTTTGGTTTTCCGTTTTTGTCTTAACTGCCTAGGTCCCTCGCACTTCCTTCGTCCTACCTCCCAACTTCATCTTATACCTTGGCTATTCCTTAGGCGATTGGGCCTCCATTTGCTTCAATTTTTGATCCTTGTTTTGCTTTTAAACCATTTCTTACTTGCGCGGTTGGCTGATTTCATAGACTGAACACTCCAATCACAGATTGATTACCGCGATGTGCATAGAGATTGGGTCTTTTGTTTTGTTTTGGGCGTCTGTTTCTTTTTGCTTCTTTCTTTCTTTCTTTCTTTATTTCTTTCTTCTTCACTTTAACTTTCACTTCACTTTACTTTCGAAGTTCTGGGATTGCTTTGCTCATTTAGCATATTCCCTGCATGATTGATACGACTTGATGGTTTCTTGGGTGACCAACGCTTTTTCTCCCTACGACTATATGATTCTTGATCTATTTGATGATGTTGGTGGGTTTTCACTTGTTAGAGTTAAATTATCTATTTAAAAAAAATTGAAACAATCGTTCGTATTCGTTACCGGATGAGACAAATTGTAAGCAAGATAAGATCACGACTAGTAACTATAACACCGGACAAACTAGCACGAGTAAAATGATATCTGGACTGGGATGAGGATGTATGAGCACTTTTCAGGGCCTTCCACGCCCAGGACCGCGGCAGAGGGCCGACTGG